AAACTTCTTCACGTGTTTGAAAATTTTCTTTCGGTCCGTAGACCCATAATATGATAACTTTTGTGTGCTTCTGTTGAAAATAATATCTGGTCTCAAGAATATTTAATTGTAATAAATATACGTTTTCCAAATTCAGAAAACAATAGAACTGTAAGATTAGTCTAAATGTAAGTGACATAAATGATAAGTCTAATTGGAAATATTTATTTTTCCTCAGGAATGGTCTGAACATAATATCCAGAACTTAATTACATATGCCATGATATTAATATCTATGACTTGCAATATCTTTTTAGTCTGTTACATTGGTGAAATATTATCAGAAAAGGTAATTAATATGTGACGACATAATCGAATAATTTAAACTATTGATTGATTTGGATGTTCACAGTGTAAGAATATTGGAGACATGGTTTATATGACAAACTGGTATCATCTGCCAGACAAAGATATTCTAAGCTTAATTATGATCATTTCACGATCTAGCGTGAAAGTTAAAATGACTGCCGGAAAGATAATTGACATGTCGCTATTCACATTCGCTAGTGTATGTCTTCATCATTTTTTTAATTCTAAAAAAAGATTTAATTGAAAAGAAAATATTCAAGGTATCAATTATAATTCCAGATGGTAAAAACAGTTTTTGCGTATCTAAATATGCTGTGTCAGACAACAATGTAAAAGCTGCACATGTATTTAGTCTATGCTTAGATAATAAAGTTTAAAAGTTTAAAGTTTAAAATTTTTTCGTTTAAATAAATTTATGTAAATTTTGAAAATGAAAAAAGTACTCCCTCGATGCTTGTGTATGTATGCTTGTACCATGTGCATGAAAGAATACATAAATGCTTTATTGAAACAAGAGTTGACAAAATTATAAGGAGATACAATCAAATTTTAAAATTAATTATAATTAAATTATAATTAATTTTAATTCATTATTTGAGAATGACTGTCAAAAATTTCATATTAAATAATTGTTATTACAGCGTAATTTATGTTTTATAGTTATTCTTTAGGTCGAATATTTTTTGTGTATTCAAATAATATCAGGTATTTTTATATTCATTTATAAAAAGACTCCAACAAGTTTTACTAGTTCTACTATAATGTAGTTTAGTATACCTTGTTACGTGCTGAATCAACAGGTTGTTGTAAGGAGATTTCAACTGCACAGGCAGCAAGCTTCTTCAATCTAATTTTGTCGGACAATGCTGATGAAATAAGCAATTCCAAACTATCAGTGTAAATAGTATACATTTTTGTATCTATCATTTACATTACAGCATGTTTCTGGAATTGAATCTGTCTAATTTCAGTCTTTTCCATCAAATCGTTAACTGAAGGTACGTTCTGCAAAATAACGTTACATTTAGTTTAAACAATAACTTGTCAGTTAAATTCAAAACGGTTATTTTCTAAGAATTATTCCAAATATTACACTTTACACTTCATCTAAAACGTCGCTTCTACAAACTTAACAATCGCCTCTGTGCTTCGTTCCCCTAACATTGTCGCGTTCACACAACTACCATAAACAAATCGAAACATACGTGGTATGTTTTCCATCAGTCACCATGGGAAAACACTGTGGCAAATCGATCGGCGCGAATCCTTCGACGAAGTGTGCGCAAACGATTAGAGTTACGCGAACAGTTGCCCCCTTGATTCAGTTGTGTCGGCGACTTTGACGAGAGAGCACAATGACGGAGAAGCTCGTCGCAGCAAAGAAAAAGTATGGCAATCTCGGCGAATACAGCATACAGTTGAGTCGATGGTATTTGAAGCCAATGGGCGCTTGGCCCGATCCAGTTACCACGAGACGCGAGAAGATCCTAGCACAAATTTCAATCGTTGTCTGCTGTTGTATCATACTGTTCACCGTGATCCCTGCTTTCCTTCACTTCATTCTCGTAAATGAAGATATCTATCTGAAACTGAAGGCTCTTGGTCCTTTGTCCCATTGGTGCGTCGATGGATTCAATTACCTCGTGTTATTGCTACGTCAGGACGACATCAGTTATTGCATAGAACGCATACGATCCGACTGGAAGATGATAACGAGAACACAGGATCAAGAAGAAATGTGGAAGAGCGCGAAACTTGGCCGCAACATCGCGGCCTTCTGCGCCGGTTTCATGCAAGGTACGATACTCTGCACATGTTTCGTGTTGGGGACGTTCAAACGGACCGTCGAAATCGGCAACAAAACCGTGGATATTTATGGTTTACCTTGCCCGACGTACAAATTCCCAGTTCAGACAAATCCAACGCACGACGTAATTCTTGGTACACAATTTCTGTCAGCGCTGGTAGTAAGTTCGAGTGCCGCAGGTTCTTTTACACTTGCTACCATAATCACGAGCCACGCTCTTGGCCAGTTGAACATAATGGTGGCGTGGGTGAACGAATTCACAATGCGGTCCAGAGAAAAGAGGAAGAAGGCTCAGATTAACGAAATAGGTAAAATCGTTGAACATCATTTGAGAGTTCTCAGGTAATGTACAATTTTGAATTTTCCCTTCTGCTTCTATAGTCTAAATATTGTCTAACGGATGTTAAATGTTAAATGCAGTTTGATAGCGCGCATCGAACGTATAATGAGCCCCATATGCTTCATGGAAACGTTCAAGTGTATGCTGGGTATGTGCATGCCTAGCTATTACATTCTTGCGGTATGCTAAACATATTAAGAGATATTTATGGTAATTTCATCATGGGTCTACCGATCAAAAAACAACATTCCTAGAATATATTTCTGTAAAATGACGAATGATGGAAATATTGCTCCGTAGACCTACAATTGTTTCTTTATGTCTCTATGTTCAAAGCAATTCGTTTGATCGTACATTGACCAGTACTACTGCGGACATTCGACGAAGTAGCGAGTGTCGATACTTGTCTGCCCGTTTTATTTGAAACGCGAACAACACATCAGCTACCTAATTGAAAATATTTATTTTTTTTCCCAGGAATGGTCTGAACATAATATTCAAGCCTTGATCATATACACGATGGTATTTTTATCCATGACTTTTAACATTTTCTTAGTATGTTGCATCGGTGAAGTCCTCAAAGAACAGGTAACGAACTGACGACAAAGTAAGCTGAAATTTTAAATCGTAATCAGTTAGCATAGTATGATTAATTGTCACTTACCGGTTATATTCCATACTCCATAGTGTCAAAAAGTCGGTGACATGGTGTACTTGACAAACTGGTACCGCTTGCCTGACAAAGAAATCCTTAATATGATTATGATCATTTCACGATGTAACATGGAGGTTAAAATAACAGCTGGGAAGATAATTACCATGTCTGTGTATACTTTCGGCAGTGTACGTCTATCTAATGTTCATTCGTAAAAAATAGAAGATATCACTGGCCTTCGAAAAGATTTATAACATCATTTGCAATTCCAGATAGTAAGAACTGTTTTCGCGTATTTGAATATGCTTCGTCAAATGACGATGATGTAGACCACGTGACTGGTGTATTCATATAAGATATACAATATTTAGATAATAAACTTGATAGATTTTAAACGTAAATGTATCTGTGTGAAATTGAATGCATAGAAATCCCTTTTATCTTTTATGTACAGATGTGCCAACTTTAAAATTAACTTTCTGAAATTCTTACCTGTTCAATTTCCAATTCCAAATTGAACCATTCCATTAAAAGTCTATTAATCCTGTTGTCTATCCTTCTGGATAGTTGCACCTTGTTCCCGATTTTTGAAAACAGTCTGCTCGTGAGAAGCAGGAAATATCAAAATACTAACACTGGATATGTCTATATTGGAATATGGTTTTCATTTCGAACGAGAACAGCAGATTGAAGCAAAATCATAAGAACTATCGTCCACGTATATACATATACGTACATATCGTGCTATATATAAAGCCGAGACACATCCTGTCACGATAGAAGCTGAAACACGAGTCGGCCAAAGAAGCAACATGTTATTACAGCACACGTGACGGCTATCGATCACGAAATGAAGTTTTATTCGTCCAGTTTTGCGCTTGCGTCTCTTTCGACGGCGTTCTGGCCACGGTTCGGCGGGTGCAGTCGACGCTGGACGATCGAGGCGTTAGCATGCGATCCTCCAGCTGTATCAACGACGATCCTCCACCGAGCAATCATTATGAAACCGACGTACGTCGCGCGTTTCAGTTTTGCCACTGGGTCTGGAAGCCCTTGGGCATCTACGCCTTCATCTACAACTGCCGGGACAAATTCGAGAAAATGACGTCCGTGGTGTTGATCCTGATCAGCTGTTCAATCCTGCAATTCGTTATCGTGCCGTTCGGTTATTACATATTGTTCTACGAGAGGGACATAGACACGAAGATCAAATTCATGGGCCCGTTGACATTTTGTTTAACGTCGCTGATTAAGTACGGTTACCTGGCCATAAAGAGTTCAGAATTCGGTCGTTGCGTGAAACGCGTCGAGGAGGATTGGAGGATGCTGCGACAGGACGATCATCGAGCGATCATGCTTCGATACTTAACCATGGGCAGGAAACTGATCACGTTGTGCGCGGCATTTATGTACACCGGCGGCCTGTCTTATCACACGATCATGCCGTTACTATCCAAGAAGATCAGTGAGAACGTCACGATCAGGCCGCTCACTTACCCTGGCTACGAGGCGTTTTTCGATGTTCAGAAAAGCCCCACGTACGAGATCGTGTATTGCATGCACTGCGTCTACGTTTTAATCACCGGCAATATTACGATGGCTGCGTACAGTTTGACGGCGATTTGTACCACGCACACCTGTGGCCAGATCAAGATACAAACGTCCAGGCTGAAGAACTTGAGGCAGGATAGAAAGGCGTTGGAGAACGGGATCGAGGATCGTTTGGCCGTTGTCGTGAGAGAGCACGCGAAGATTCTGAGGTATGGTAATTGAATAATAGGAGTGTTTATAAGGTGAAAAATGATATGGATGATGGAATGTTTGATCTGAGAGAACTATGGACTTTTGTGCAAAAAAAAATTTGATTATTGGTCTTTCAAAATTCATAACTCTAATGTTTCTCTTCTAAAAAAAAAAGACACGTTTCTATTATTTTTCTGTTAAACTTTTTAATTAAATATTATTGTAATAACGAATCTAACCTCAGCTACAAAGACACATATTCGAAATTACAGATTTACGGAAATCATGGAGACAGCGTTGCAAGAGTTATTTTTGATAGAAGTAGTAACATCCACGTTGCTGATATGCTTGCTCGAATACTACTGCATGATAGTAAGAATGAAATAAATCACTACTTAACATTCAATTTTTAATAGCGAAAAGCTGAGTGTATCGTCACGGATGTGTACCTATATATGTGAGAAATTGTAATCCTAAGCCAAATATCATTTCAGGAATGGGAAACAAGCGATTCGGCCGCGGTATCAACGTACTTCATGCTTTTAACTTCGTTCACATTCAATATATTTATATATTGTTACGTAGGCGAACTCCTCCTTGGACAGGTACTTCTGAAAAAAAAAGAAAAAAAAAAAAACAGACACTCAGTGTCTGAATCGATTCATTCACGAAATTGCTCGCCTCATTCTTCGTTACCATTTTTCAACGTAGACAGTTACCATTGTCATAATAGATATGAGTGTTGTACCAGGGTAGCGAAATCGCGACAGCTTTGTACGATATAGAATGGTACAATTTAGCTGGGAAAAAAGCTCGTGACATCGTTCTGGTGCTCGCCATATCGAAATACCCGCTGAAACTCAGGGCTGGAAAAATGCTCGTCCTATCGATGAATACTTTCGGCGTGGTAGGTGATCCAGAAACTGAGGAATGAAATATTCAGCGAATAATTTTCAGCGGTTCATTGCTTTCAGGTGTTGAAATCATCGTTGGTTTACCTGAACATGCTACGAACGATTACTGAACTCTAATCGAAATTACCAAGACGTGATAAAGAAAAGCAATTTAAACAATTGACGTAAACAAACTCTTTGCGTAATGATAATAATTTGATAGACAAAATTATATGATACGTATCTGTTAAACAAAATCTTGAAGCATTCAAAATTTAAACAAAGAAAGAGTGAATTTAAAAAGAGATTTCGCAAGATTCTTCTGAATTTCAATTTCCTCCCTCTTGTTTATTCCATATTTAGCAATAGTATAGAATGAAAAAAGAATACACCGTACAAGAAAACAACGAACATTAAAAGCCAATTTGAAAAGAAAATATAACTCACATGAATATTCTACCAACGTGGAATACGTACATTAAACACACCACAGAAAAAATAAAAATCTTCACAACGACAACATATGTATAGATTCAGCATTCAATCAAACGATTTCTCTCCACCACCTTCCCGCACTGTCAACCAACCAACCAACGTGTATGAACATACTGCTAAAAATGAAGCAAAAGAACCGCGTACACGATAATTATCGACGAATGCCTCCCCACTACGTATACCCTTACTCACAAAGCGCACGCACCTGCTGCAAAGTTCGTAGAAACGAAGAAACGTGCGCTTGCGTTCTGTCAACTTGATCAGTCGCCTCTGCACACGGGAGCCGTCAGTATGCGTGATCGATCACACGCCAAACGAGACGGACAGTTGAAAAACATTCATTACAACAACGACATAGATTACACGCTGCAAATGTGCGAATGGCTGTTCAAACTAATCGGAATGTGGCCCCTCGTCAACAGTCGCACAAGCAAACTGCAACAGATCGTCTCGATCGTTCTGATAAGCTCAAGCTTCTCTAGCATGCTCTTCATCATCTTACCATCCTTTCATCACATCTTCTTCGTGGAGAAAAATACGGCCATGAAACTGAAAATGCTCGGACCAGTTTGTTTCTGTTTCTCGTCTGCGATCAAGTACTGCTACCTTGGCACGAAGGGACGTTTCTTCGAACGATGTATCCAGCACGTCAGAAAGGACTGGGAAACGGTGAACGATCCAAATTACCGGACGATCATGCTGAAGTACGCGACGATCAGCAGGAAACTGATCACGGCATGCGCGGCTTTCCTGTTCAGCGGTGGACTGTCGTATCACACGGTAATGCAATTTGTGTCGAAGGCGGAAGCAGGGGAAAATAGCACGTACAGACCACTGGTTTATCCTGGCTATGATTCATTCTTGGACACTCAGTCCAGCCCTACCTACGAAATCGTGTTCTCCCTTCACTGTTTCGCCGATATAATCATGTACAGCGCCGCGACGGCTGCGTACAGTTTGGCCGCGATCTTTGTTACTCACATTTGTGGACAGATTCAGATACAGATAGCAAAGTTGCACGATTTAGTGAAGAGCAAAGAGAGGAAGGATGGTGGACGTGATCCTCTGTCACTTATCGTACGCGAGCATGTGCAAATTCTAAGGTAAGGTATACCATTTGTAACACGAAACGTAAGAACACATAACGTTTTAGAGAAGCAAGTGCGTGGATATTTTAGATTTTCGAAAAATGTAGAAGATGCTATGCGAGAAGTGTGTTTCGTGCAAATCTTCGAGTCCACGATGAACATGTGTTTGCTCGAGTATTATTGCATAATGGTAGGAAATTGAATTAACATCTATCAGCGTTGATCTAAATTAATTTAAAATTACGCACACCTGTTATTCGTAAAATAATTTCAGGCTTGGCGAAACAACGACATACTCGCGACAGTGACTTGCGCTACATTGTTGGTCTCCTTCACGTTTAATGTATTTATATTTTGCTACGTAGGCGAACTCCTCTCTGAACAGGTAGTAACACAAGAATTTCGCTTGTCTAGATATCCTCCATTTTATCAAATACTCTCAATGATCGTCATTAGTGTAGACAAATCGGTGAAAATTCCTACCAGATCAAATGGTACAACTTACCACCTAAAGACGCTTACGATCTTATTCTACTGATCTCCGTATCTCAGTATCCACCAAAGCTTACAGCTGGAAAAATAATCGAATTATCTCTTGATACTTTTAGCTGTGTGAGTTTATATTTTTGTAGTTGTACCGTTACCGTAAAAACCAATTTAAACCAAAATTTTATACTTGCCTATTTTCAGGTAGCAAAATCGTCATTAGTTTATCTGAATTTAATTCAAACGTTTACAGAATGGTAATGAAACAATTTTCTCCAGTGTTGCCATATAATCACTATAATCTCTGCAATTGTTTTTATTATTGCGAAAATTTTATTTGTTTTACAGATATCTCGTTTACCAACCGAGGTCTACGTAGTTTAATATTCTTGATCTAAATCTGAAGTTCATCCTCGAATTATTTTGACATTAGACTCTATAAAACGCAATTACAAAACAGAATTAAGTAATAAATATTTGAGAGTTACATCTTATAATATTAAATACTCAATTACTGACTGAAACTTATAAGACTTTATTTCATTTCTCTTCTTCCTATACTTATCTTTTACTTCACCGAAGGTAAAACCTTGACGTTACATTTCCAGAGATGCAAATATTCTTTCTTTTATAAATCACGAGGAGAATCTTACGGGCGGTTCACTCGCGTAAAAAATATAATACCATTTTTTTTTAAACAAAACAGGGTTCCATCAAATGATAAACATTGTGAGAAAATTTAAGAAAGCTTAGCACACACGTGTGCTCATCAATGATTTCTGTGTACTATAACTTCACTCGATCTCTTCTGCAACGAATATAGAACCTGAAAAAGACAAAAAAGGGGTGAACGCTCGCTTACTATCGACGAAAGTTTCGCCTTCCCTTATTCATGACACGCACACAGGTAGCACACATGAAGTTCATTGTACACATTCGAGGAAACGAAAGGAAACGCGCTTGCGTTCTGACAGAGTCGTGTTGATACGTTTCTACCCTGTTGATCAGTCGCCTCCGGGCAGCGGTGCCGTCAGCATGGATGATCGATCATACGCCATAGTTGACAGACAACTGACAAACGTTCATTACGACAACGACATACATTACACGCTGCAAATGTGCGAATGGCTGTTCAAACTAATCGGCATGTGGCCTCTCGTCGACAGTCGCACCAGAAGTAAACTGCAACAACTCGTCATGGTCGTTCTGATAAGCACGTGCTTTTCTAGCATGCTCTTCATCGTCTTACCATCCTTTCACCACATCTTCTTCGTGGAGAAAAATACGGACATGAAAGTGAAAATGCTCGGGCCAGTTAGCTTCTGTTTCTCGTCTGCGGTCAAGTACTGCTACCTTGGTACGAAAGGACGTTTCTTCCAACGATGTATCCAGCACGTC